TTTTGCCAAGAAATATCGTTTTAAGTCTAGCATTAAATATATGGTGTTGACTGATGTTGAGTAAAAATTAAGTATAGTTTTGAAAATGTGTACACTTTTGTAGAGTAAATACATTTTTCGGGTACAGAATTAATGACATGATGTATGGAAACATATAAATCATTGGCTACTTATCCACCATAACTGTGAAATGTATTTTATAATTTTGGTGTGCTCTATATTTTTTGCTAGTACAGTAGTATTTACTTTTATTTTATTAATTTTCATAATTATATTGATAGTTCTCTGATTATATAGTTAAAGTGTTAGCCACTTGTGTGTTGTTTACATGCCTTGAATATACAAAATATATGATGTATTAAATGAAAATGTTTTTCAAAGTTTAATTAAAGTTAATTTAAAATGCGGAAACTCAATGTTACGACTCTCTCTCTCTCTCTCTCTCTCTCTCTCTCCTAATCTATTGTTTATTTTAATTTTCATTTTATTTGTATTATAACCTCAATGTTAAGATTATATTAAGAAATTAACTTCAATTATAAGTAAAATACATTTTAATTGAGTTGAGTACATTTAAACATAAAATCCAAGTGCTATCACCAACTTGATGACATAATATACAATAAATCCCATACATAAATATTTGTATAGCTAAATCGCCGGATTAAAAAACTGTTTTTAATTAATCATATAAAACACTTTGTTAGTAAAACAATTACTTTAAGAAATTTAGTACTTTAGATAAATTTTTAAATACTTTATAATTTAAAATTGCTTTATACTTTCAAATGTAGAAAGTGTCACAATTTTTAGGTAGGATTTTAAAATTAAATTCAAATATTGTATGATTCATTCATTTGAAATAGGTTTAAAAATATTGATAAATGACCAGTCTCATATACAGCAATTTAAAAATATTTATTCAATTTATACAATCAATTTATTATTCTAAAATAGTATTTTAAAATTTATTTTTGAACTGTATTTATTTTGTTAGGTATTACTGGAAATATTTTTCATTTTATATTTTTAATATTTGTTAAATCCCGCAAAATATATCAATAAAAATACTATCGCAATTTTTGTAGTCCTTAATATTATTATACTCATTTTTTCCCTAAAAATAAAATTATATTATTTGGAAAAAAGTTATTGAATTTAGCCGTAGTTTGAGTGCATTACCCATTAGGACAATACGAAAACATTATTTACTTTTTATGGACTTTTATTTATTTTATTATATTCTTTGTCTTTTTCTTAAATAAAATAAAAATCATAAATAGTTCACTCAATGGCTTAAAGTACGGTATATATAGTGAAACAAATACTGTATTTATTTCATTCAATAATAGAAATAATAATAATAATAACAATAACTGCATTGTATATGCAATTTAGATAAAAGCCTACCCTCAATATGCCATACACTGACATACAGTTTGAAAGTATTATGTATAATAAATTTTGTTTCAATTTTCTAATTTAAGTAATTATTTTATATGTAATTAAAATTAATGAAAGTTGCTGGACCATTTTTAGATTTTATTTTCTTTTGTGGGATAATGTTTTTTATTTATTATATTAAAATAACTGTCGGGATGTTGTCTGGATGTCTAGAAATTTATTGTGTGCTTATATGGTGTAAAATATTGTCAAATTTATTATATAATAGATATGATAGCAGTTTTTGTTATTTTCTGCCCAAAAATGAATACTTTATAAGACTTTTTACTCAATACATCTCAACAAAAAAATACAAAAACATAATAGGAATACATATAAAGTATATTTATTTTTATATAAAAACTTTATTTGACCTAAATTTCGATGAAATGTCTGAATATTTGGTGTAAAAGTCATCTCAAGTCTCTCTCTCTCCTCTCTCTCTCTCTCTCTCTCTCTCTCTCTCTCTGCCATAACTTTAACTCTTAATACCAATCGATACGAAAAATATTTTTAGTTTACATTTCTCTTACTTTCAGTTTCTGTAATAAACTTTTTTCGCTTACAATTACATCTAAAATAGAGAAACAAAAAGTAAAAATATAAATAAAATGATGAAAAATATTTAATAACATCGTTGATAAATGATTGGAAAATAATGATTATATTATTTGATTTTTATTTATGTATGTTTTGTTAGTGTGTTAATTGCATTGACATTTAAATTGGAAAATTATTTACTACATTATTAGTATTGTGTTTCACACAAAATCTGTTTGAATATATTTATGAAATAGAAAGGGAGTATGGTGCTTAATTTAATTTTTTAATTAACTATTGTTTTATGTCAGTGCCACACACCAAATATTTTCATAGTTTAATGTATTTATAAATAAATTATTAAAAATTTTATTTTTTATGACACAAAATTTAATTAATGATTATTAATTGTAGTTATTATATTTGATTCAAATTAACGTGAATTGTAGAAAATCTGATTATTTTTGACAAATAAAATGTTTAAAATTTATTTTTAATTTGTTGTATGTTTGTTACCATGATTACTTTGTCTAATGTATAGTTTAATCAATTGATTTTTGATTTACTCTTGAATTTTATATAAATAATTAGTTTGAACTGAACACCTATATTTGGGTAAAAGTTTATTTATAAAGTAATCATTTATTTTATTCAAATAATTTAGTTAAATCATCAGGGAAATCTATAAAATTCCGATTAATCGTAACAAATTATTAAAAACTAAAGTAATTTATAAAACATTTTATTGTTTCAAATTGTATTTTATTTTTTGGTCAACTAATTAGATATTAAAAATTTGTGAAATTAAACAAAACTCTACACTAAGTGCTAAATAGCTTCCTAGGAAATTAGTTTTGTATAAAATTGCCAGTTGCTTTTAAACTCAACTTATAATGATTTTAACCCGTTATACTAGCTTATCCATAATAAATTATCAGTTATTTACGGCTTACAACTAGTAGTAAATTGATGTTTGACTTGAATTTTAAATCATTATTTGCTATTCACTTCATTTGACAGTTATTTAAAACAATTGGATTACCATTTGCTATGAATAATAAGCTATAAATTTAAAGCATTTCTGAAAACAATTGTAATAATAATGACATAAAAATGAATTACACGATGAGTTTAATTAATTATTACTCGGCTTTACGGTTAGCCACTAAATGATAATTTATGATATAGGTACATGGTTACTTAAAATGATTTTTATCGTAAATTATATGAAACATTTTTGAATTCAATGTTTTGTGTTTAATTTTAAAAGTTTATTGAAATTTTTTATGAGTAAATATTTTGCTCTGATTTAAAATGTAAAATATTTTTAACACTAATCCAGTTATCAGGTAACTTTCATCAGAATGCTGTTTTTAATCACAATTTATTCATAAATGCCTCAAAAATATAGTTTTCTAAAATTGGAGTAAATAGTTTTTATATTATAATTTTAAATATAGTTTACTGATAATTTTTGAAAATGTTTTAAATTATATATTAATATCTCAACACTTTTACACTTTTGATTTACATATTTATTAATAATTTCCAATAAATCATAAGTTATATATTAATGGTATGAAGTTATGAAAATGATTACAATGTGATAAACATTTAGCATCATATATTTTGTGTACAAAATTTTAGTAGCGTTTCAAAAAACTTATAATTGAAAAATCAAATTTATCTAAACGATTATCATAAATCTGGTGTTTACATAATTAAACTTAAACTTAAAATTGATGACAAACTTTGCATTATTTAGCCATTAATGTGTACCTGCTTTTTAGCATACATTCACAAAAAATAAAGTCTTGTTTTGATAATCACTTTAAACTCAGTTATTGGCGATTAATTAATAATAAAAATTAATTTTAAACCTCAAAACCATATTAAATGTATGTTTCGGTAACTGATTATAAACGGCTAGACATACGATAGACTGGAAATCCTTATATGCTTTGAATTAATTATTTTTATTTAAATTATCGTAAAACTAATCTAGACTCCGAGATATACCTGTGATATATTGAGTTAAAATGCTTTAAAATTATGATAAATTTGCAAAAATGTTTTCAGTCTAGAAGTAGGTATGTGTTTATCAGTAAACCCGTAAAAATAAGTACAATATATACAATACATACAAACATTTTAGTTTAAATTAAGTTCACATTTAAATCAATATGGATATTTAGTTTCTAAACTAGTTTTACCAAAGGATTTTTGTGAGTTAATTAATTTAAAATTGTCTAAAAGTATATGTCAATCGTATTCGTAATGTGAATATTATGTTTTGTATTTTTTGCAATGTTTTGTGAATTAATTAAAATCTATTTGTTATAAGACAATTCAGATTTAAATGTGATTTTAGAAGTTAAGAATGTGGCACACGGTAAACGTTAACAATATGAAATTTCCACAGTAGGTAGAGCCACTTATTGAAAATGTTATGAAACTAAAAATTTTAATTTTAAGCCAAGTACCCATTTAAAAATGTAACAATACAGTATGCCCAGGTGAAAGTATGACATAAGTGAAAAATGAAAGTACACTTTATAAAGCTTAAATTGAACTTTCATTTAAAAGCAAACTTTAAATCTAATTGGTAGTCTTAATATAGCAAGGTGTTTTGGGAGAATTCCTTTGTATAAGATATAAATGTTAGAAATTGAATGAAAGTATAATATTATTCCAAATATATGCACTCTACAATACTAATAATATACCCTATAAGATAATTAAGATAACTTATCAAGTTAAGTTAAATGAATTATTTCAAATTGGTTAGCGAGCTAATAAAGAATTTTAAAAAGTTAAAAAAGTTGAAATAATATTTAGTAAACTTTTAAATTGAATTAAAATTGTATTGCAAAATATTCTAATCCAGTTAAAGTAAAAGTAATTTAAAATTAATTAGTAACACATACATGAGTTAATATGTAATTGATAAAATATAAAATTATTTTATTTGTTTAGTTCATAATTTATACAAAAAGCAAATATTAAAATAATTTTTGTGACTATTTATAAAATATATAAATCATATAAAATTTAATTTATCGATGTGATTAGAGTTTGATTATAATAGATGTGAAACAAGTATGCGATCAAAAAGTAGATCATTTATTGGTCATCGATGTCCTCCTCGTTTTCATCTGCTTTGTGGTACTGTCTCTCAGTGGCCACGAAGTAGTCCTCGAAGAAATGGTATAAGTACTTAAAGGTGGGCCTATTTTCGGGCACTTCATCCCAACACTTAAGCATCATATCGTAGTAAGAGTCGGGACACTCCACGTATATGGGTTTGGGTAACCGGTAACCTCGAGATACCTGATCCAGGATTTCCCGCTGGTTCATACCTGTGGTGAATGAATACAAAAATATTAGTTTTATTTTGTAGAAAATCAACATATTTTGACTCAGCATTCGTATAATACACAAATTGATTAGCTATTTTTACTATTGCATTCATTAAACAAAACAATCATTTTGTATTCAGTACCGGTGCACATATGACGGTTGATAATGAATTAATAAATTGTGTACAATGTTCATAAAGAAAAGTATCTATAGATTTAATTGTCTACGCTACTTTAACATACTGATACATGTCATATTTAATTCAAATAGACAAATATACAGGTACAGTTATTGTACAGTTAGCATAGTTACCTGCATAGGGGACCTGACCAAAAGTGATCACTTCGTACAACAGCACCCCATACGACCAGATATCAGACTTTGTAGAGAACTTGCCAAAGAGTGCGGCCTCGGGGGCCGTCCACTTAATGTGGAACTTAGCCCCCATTCGGGCCACGTACTCCTCCTCCTCAATAATGCGGGCTAACCCAAAATCGGCCACTTTTACCTCGTTATTATCGCCCACCAGTATATTCCTGGCCGCCAGGTCTCGGTGCACCAACTTTATGGACTCCAAATAACTCATACCTGAGGCTACCTGTGAGCACATGTCAATCAGATCGGAGAGTTTTGTTTAATTTCACAAATTTTTAATATCTAATTAGTTGACCAAAAAATAAAATACAATTTGAAACAATAAAATGTTTTATAAATTACTTTAGTTTTTAATAATTTGTTACGATTAATCGGAACTTTATAGATTTCCCTGATTATCTAACTTAATTATTTGAATAAAATAAATGATTACTTTATAAATAAACTTTTACCCAAATATGTTCAGTTCAAACTAATTATTTATATAAAATTCAAGAGTAAATCAAAAATCATATGATTAAACTATACATTAGACAAAGTAATCATGGTAACAAACATACAACAAATTAAAAATAAATTTTAAACATTTTATTTGTCAAAAATAATCAGATTTTCTACAATTCACATCAATTTTAATCAAATACAATAATTACAATTAAAAATCACTAATTAAATTTTGTGTCATAAAAAATAAAATTTTTAATAATTTATTTATAAATACATTAAACTATGAAAATATTTGGTGTGTGGCACTGACATAAAACAATAGTTAATTAAAAAATTAAATTAAGCA